AGAGGCAAAGAAGAGAGTACAGGCAAGGTGCTGTGGGCAGAGATGAGTGTCATGAGTGTGAGTTATGGCAAAAGGATAACAGGAAGAATGAAAGGGGGAATTAAAAAATGATAGTTACAGCTGCTGTGATATATAGTTTGGACAAGGTAACACATCACTTCTCCCACCTCACAGCTGGAGGTGGGAGAAGTGACGATAAACAGCAAGGATAAAACTGAAAACTACTTGGTTAACTTTTGATTTAGGAATATAAAACTTTAGGTTAATCAGTGTTCCGGAAATGTTAAGATTTAGTTTACTCTTTAAAACTTACAGCTTTAAACCTGCCAGGCAGCATAGAGGGGTAGACATACTGGTGCTTTATGGTGATACAGGTTTTGCTAATAAGTTGTGGTCAGGTTTATCCAACATACATCCCATTTAATCACAAAGTTATAACTGAAACTGCTTTATGTATGTAAAAGTATTTATAAGCCATCAGACGAAAACTTCATGAAATCTAACATCATCCTCACCTCTCACTTCCAGCCTGATCTCCGGTGACTCTCCTTTTGTGGGATGAACACACTTGTAGAAGGCTTCGTTCTCCTTGGACACATGGATAAAGCTCAACCTTCCTTCAGACGTTTTTTCAAAAAAAGTACCATTTCTGTAGAAAGCAGCACTGAAATTGGACGTAGACTCCTTTGCATATTTTTCCTTATAGGAGCAGTTTAGTGTCACACTGTCTCCCTCAGTCAGAGGAACAGCAGGACCCTGCAGGATGACACCAGCTGAAATGCAGAGAGAGAAACTGTGATCTCTGACTCTGGTTTTTGTCCTTAGTTACAAAGTTGCAAAATGTGTTCATTTATTTTTACTTAAGATACAACATCAACAATCTGACATTACTTAGCAAACTTACTTGCCACTGTGATGTTGATGGTGTTGCTGCACTCCCTGCTGTCAGACTCACACCAGTACACTCCACTGTCTGATGGGTAGACACCTTTGATGGTGCAGGATGACCCATTTAATTGGCCCCAGGTCTCACATGAAACAGAAGACCTTGTGGAGGTGTTTCTCTTCACTGTCCAGCTGCTGAAGCTGCCTGGCACTGCACAGCTCAGAGTCACAGTTTCATAAAAGAAGAAGACTGACCTGCCTGGATGGATGCTCAGAGTAGCAGCTGCAGGTTCAAAAACATCAGGTTAAAACACATCAGTTGACATGCAGTACACGCAGTGTGAGAAGATCAATGACACAGATGCTGAAACCTTTTCTGCCACTGCACAGATTGAAACCAGCGACCGTTTTGGACAAAAGTTTCCACAAACTCAACATTGCCAAGAACGACATGGTAATGTTAGGCTTTTAAGCCCCACGCCCGCTACCAGGGGTAAAAAGGAGGAGCTCACGTTTAATCGGTTATAACACGATGTCAGAAATATAAGTCCGGACATGTGCGGTATCCACAAAAACCTCTGAATCTCAGTTAAAATCTCATATAAACCATTTCTACAAAAACTAAACAGAACGAAAACAAGTCATGATTAAACGAACAGTTACGTAAATGTCCGCTAAACAAACAAAACCAATCAAGAAATTCTCCAGACTTTA